CAATTCACCTCATTTATTTTAGTGGTTTGGCCATTTCTAATGACAAGATTTACCTGATGTTTCAGCAAAGGAAGGTAGGAAGCCCAAGACTGCCAAAGCCAAGATGCATTCCCAGATTTTGCCCAATCAAAGATGGAACAGTTTTTGAAGTATTTACTCTTGAGAACTCTGCACATCAGCAACTCAGGCTGCTCAATGAGCCTCCATAACTGCTTCAGGATCAGAGCTTTATTAAAGAGCTTAAGGTCCAAAAAGCCAAGGCCCCCTTCATCCTTTGGAATAGACAATTTTTCCCAAGAAAGCCAATGCAAGTTCTGCTTCTGTTGATCTCCCTTCTTCCACCAGAATTGAGCCACTAACCTGCACACTTCTTTACACACCCCAACAGGCAATACAAAGCAAGACATGACATAAACTGGAAGAGCACATAACACAGATTTCACCAAGACTTCCTTTCCTGCAGTTGAAAGTAAAGAATTTTTCCAGCTACAAATCCTATCCCTAACAGCTTCCACCACAAACTGGAAAGTCTCAATTTTTGATGCCCCAATCCCTAAAGGTAAACCCAAATACCTAGATGACCTCTTCACCACAACACCATTCAGAATAGAGGAAATCCTCACCTTCAGATTCTCAGAACTGTTTTTGCTCAGAAATAAAGAAGATTTGTGCAAGTTCACTTTCTGGCCAGTAAAGGTTTGGTATTTTTGAAGAATATCCAACAGCAGCCTTGCATGATCTTCATCAGCTTTACAAAATATAAGAGCATCATCAGCGAATAACAAATGTGACAGCATTGGCCCTTCTCTAGATACTTTAATACCCCTAAAACAGCCAGTGAACATCTTATGTTGCAGATAAGCAGAGAAAACTTCAGATATCAAAATGAACAGGTAAGGGGATAAAGGATCCCCTTGCCTAATGCCTCTACTAGATGTTACATATCCACAAACTCTGCCATTCAGATTAAAAGAGAAACTGGGACAAGATATGCAGTTAATGATCCAGTGAACAAACTTCCCATGAAAGCCCATTTTTCTCATAACCTTTCTAACACACTCCCATTCCACACGGTCATATGCCTTTTCCATGTCAAGTTTGACTGCCATGAACACATTTGGCCCAGAAACATGTCTATGAAGGAAATGAAAAACTTCATGAGCAATCACTACATTATCCAATAATAATCTACCAGGAACAAAGGCAGTCTGGGCTTGACTAACACAAACCCAAACAGCATTTCAGTCTCTCAGCCAAAATCTTTGCAATAATTTTATACAAAACACCACATAAACTTATAGGCCTGTAATTGCTTAGCTTGTCAGGATACATACATTTAGGGATAAGAGTTATAATAGTATGTTTCCAATTCTTCAGTAAGTGCCCAGACCTAAAAAAACTGCACACAGCCTTGCATACATCATCTTTCACAATGTGCCAAAACTTTTGGAAAAACAGAGCAGACATACCATCATCCCCAGGGGCTTTTTCAGGAGCCATGCTAAAAACCGCAGCCTTTATTTCCTCCTCATTCACAGGTCTGACAAGATCATTATTTAGAGCCTCTGAAATGGAATGTGGAATATGTTGAAGTAGTTCATCGCCTCCACTAGATCCCTCAGAAGAAAATAAATCAGAGTAAAAATTAGTGATATGCCTCTCCATGGTCTCATGAGTATCACAGACATCACCAGAAGGGGTAATAAGTTTGGAAATAGTATTTGATCTCCTTCTCTGAGATGTAAAAGCATGAAAAAATCTTGAATTTCGATCCCCGGCTTTCAGCCACAGTGCTCTAGATTTGACCCTCCAGTACATTTCCTCTTCCTGATAAGCATCGTCCAGCTCAGATTTAAGAACTGCCCATTCTTCCCAATCTCTGTCCTTCCCATCAGCCCTCATCTCTTCCAACTTTGCATTGGTGGTGGAAATAATTCTTTCATTATTTCTGTGATGAGGCTTGTGCCAGGCAAGAAGTGCCATTCTGGTACTCTTCACTTTCTGGTGCACTTGGAACATATAAGAACCGTCTACTTGCACATTCCATCCTCCTTGCACAGCATCTTGCACTCCTTCTAAACTTGCCCATTGTTGGCTGAAAGAAAATCTTTTGTGTCTCCTGTCAATCTCTTTATCAGTGTCAAAAAACAGAATATTATGATCTGAGGCTGATCTATAATAATTGGATGCCTCCATATTAGGAAAATTGGTCAGCCATTCATAAGACACAAAGATTTTGTCTAATCTCTCCTCCACATAGCCATCATTTGCTCTGTTATTACCCCAAGTATAAAAGGACCCCTTCTGAGCCACTTCATGCATCTGCATATTCATAATAAACTGTTGAAACCCAACAAAACTACTAGCACTCCTTCTCACACCCCCCCTTTTCTCCTCATTACAGACTATGTCATTCCAGTCACCTGCTATCATCCAACATTGCCCCCATTTAACCTTACTCTCTTCAAGAAATTCCCATTGATGAGTTCTTTCCCTTCTATCTGTGCTCAGATACACAAAAACCAACCAACATCCAGCTGACATATTAGGCCCTCTCACTTCCACTTGACAGCAGAACTCATTCCCCAGAATTTGGAGAACCTCAATATTAGGGTCCCATAGAAGCAATAGACCACCTCTTGTCCCAATAGGTTTTTCCAAATGCCATCGATCCTGGAATCCCAATTTCCTACACACAGTCCGAGTAAACTGAACAGATTTCTTAGTCTCAGATAAAAAGATAATATTTGGGTGATGGATTCTCCTCGAATCCTTGATCTGGGAAACTGTCGAGGGCCCACCCAATCCTCGACAGTTCCACACCATGACCTTCATTGGTCACACTTGGGCCATTTTTGGCTGGCCTTCTCCACCAAATATTGTCCACCATTTCCTTTCATTCGCTTCTCAGAACCTCCTTCTGCTTCTGGTTGGCCCCCCTCATAGATTACCAGAGCTCTACTTCTCTTCATAGAACCTTTTTCATGATGTGTGCAGTAGGTTTCAGGGATAGAGATCACATTCCTCTTTGATGGTACTCTTCTTCTCCACCCAATAGCTGGCTTCTTTCTCAGATTATATTTACACACAGGTCTCTGACCAAAACTCTCAGGAACTGCCTTGTCTGTCTGTGTTTCTTCTATTATCATTGCCTCTTTACCAGAACCACCCGCTTCATGTTCAAAACTCTTTGAAAGCTGTTGACACCCAACATTCCCCAAGCTTTCCCCTGGTTGTTTAGAACTAGCTCCCCTAGCCTCATTACTCTTTATTTGCTCTGGCCCTACCCCATTTTGGTTAGCATTTGCTGATACCCATGATTCCTGAATAGGACTCCTATTAGGTGTAGAATCCTTGTCATCTGGACTGTCGGACTGCAAACTTCTACCCCCTGGATATGTCTCAGCAGTCTTTAGCCACTCACCAAATTGACCAGCAACTACACAATCATTTTCAATATCTTCTCCCTTCTTGATACAATTCCTTTCCAGATGCCCAATCCTCCCACAATAGTAGCACAGGTTGACAAGCTTCTCATATCTGAACATCACCATTGCCCTTTGAGTCCCCAACTTAATAGATGTGCACCGAGGGATAGCCTCATTTACATTAATAACCACCAGCAGCTTCAAAAAGCTACCCACATCTCCCCCAACCTTGCAGACAACCACATTCTTAACTTTGCTAAAAATCTTACCCACTTTCAGACCCACTTCATTACTCATCCAATTTAAGGGCACATTCAACACTTGGACCCACAAGGTTATCTCCTCAAAACAACAGTGCTTGCTATGTAGACCCGGAAACCACTCTTTTAAGATTAGATATTGGTTTTCATACATCCAGTTAAAACCGGCAGCTACTTTCTTCTTATCCTCTTGAGATAGAAAAATGAATTGGAAGAAATTTGCACTGATTTCCTTGACCTCCATAGTATGCTGCAGTCGCCAGATTGCTCCCATCGTTCGTTTAATGCCCAGCAGCCCTGCGTGCCTATCACCCACTACCTTACCAAAAAGACTCCGCGCACACTCCTCTTCACTGGCTATAATGTCATCCTCTTTGATTTCCACATCACCTGCTTCCTTGGCTGATAGCGACATCTGTATTAATTTTCGCAAAACCCCTTCATCGACTTCCCTAGCATCATTACCCCCCGGATCTTTGCCCTCCATTTCTAGACCGGCACTTCACCCCTATCGTCCCCAACGAAACCTAATCCCACAATATCGAAATTTGATTGAAAACCTCCCAAATCCCTCACACGAAGGAATTCAGCTCTCACCCAAGAAAATTTCGCTCTCACCCAAGATAATTTCGCTCTCACCTGAGAGAATCTTTGCACAGTAATTGTTGAATAATTATTTCTCAAATTTCAAAGAACTATTTAATTTTATCAAGATAAATTTCCTCAAAATTAATATCTATGAGATGTTTATTTAAATTTAAAATGGTTCGATAACTTTATTTGATGTGATTATGCCACATATTTTAATTAGTTAGACTAATATTATAAACATTGTTCTATTTCAATTTTAGTTATATATAAAATTGAAATTATTTTAAGTATATGTATATAATTAAAATTGTTTTAGCTATATATATATATATATATATATATATATTTATATATAGGGTTGAGTTCAAGCAAGAAAGGTGCTCAATGAAAGAATTAAGAATAAATCTTAGCCATTGGATTGGATGATCCAAAAATTGCAAAAAAGCTTAATTTTAAAACACATTAAGGATAGTGTGGTAATTTTTCTACCCAATTTACATGTGGCCCCCACCAACACCAAGTCAATCTAAAAAATTCTCACGTGGGATCCGGCTCTCTCCCAATCATAAAACACACACACCACACCCCTACAATCTCTCTCCCCGTCACTCTCTCTCACACAATTACACACGCTGTCACACATAGGGTCGCCGGCTATCTTCCATCCGTCGCTGCCGTCCTACAGCCCAATGTTTCCTCCGCCGCTGCCGAAAGTCCTTTGATGCTGATGTCACGCCGGAAAATCTTCAACTCCCGCCGTCATCTTCATCCGCCCCACCATATTCTTATTCCTCTGGCTAGCCGCCCTACAGCTCTGCGCCACAGCACTGCCACCAGTGTCTTCTCCGGCCATCCAAATGGCACCGTCGCTCTGCTCGACGCCGTCTGGTCTTCACCTGGTCTCATCCATGAAGGACGCAATCGTCAGCGTCACCGGTGGCCACCCGCTGCTTCTCCCTCCTCCGCAAGGCCCGGTCCACGAGGAGCTATGATTACGGACTTAAGGTTTCCGGATAACACGGATAACGCGTCGGCGACCATCTCTCGTCCTTCCCGCCACCATCGTCGACTTCCGTTGTCTCTTCCTCCGCCGTCTTCAATTGTCGTCCTCTGTCGAGTTCTGGATGACACTGATCAGAAAATTAAATACATGGACTCCAAGATCCAGAAACCTGCACTTTAAAGTGTTGGGGCTTTTTTCTTGTAAATTAGACATTATAAAGGGACTAATTTGTAATTTAGGAAATTTTACGCTACATATATTAAATATACAATTTAATAAATGTGATGGGTTGGTGAGTTGATAATTTCAAGACTCTATACATAAAATGCATAAATGCAATATTTTGAGTATATTTTAATTTATTACAAAACCAAATATGAAATTTATAGCTATATTTATATAAATGCATATTAATAATTAATAAAGTGCACAATGTTTAAAAATTTAATATGTAAAATTTTAATATATAAAAATATTATAATAACGAATATACTTGTATAATAATAAATAATAAAATATTTTAATTATTTAGGTTAATTCGATATATAATTATATCTACTAGATATAGTTTCCAAAAAAACCCGCAATTTAGGTGTGATCATATAAAGTAATGCACTTTATATATCAACACTTTATATAGCAGTACGTTGCACTTTATAGAACAACACGTTGCACCTTATAACACAATACGTTGCACTTTATTAACACACTCCACGTTTAACTCCACTTTATTGACTGACGTGTTGCACTTTTGTGTTAATGAGATTGCACCTTATCATAACAAATGCACGGTAATGTTAGTTAAATTAATAATATAAAAATATTAAGTACATAAATTATAAATACTAAATATAATATTAAAATATTATTAAACATATTGCCCTTTATTGACTGACGTGTTGCACTTTTGTGTTAGTGAGATTGCACCTTATCATAACCAATGTAGGGTAATGTTAATTAAATTAATAATATAAAAATATTAAATACAAAAATTATAAATACTAAATATAATATTAAAACATTGAACATATTGCACATTATTGACTGACTGTTGCAATTTTGTGTTAGTGAGATTGCACCTTATCATAACAAATGCACGGTAATGTTAATCAAATTAATAATATAAAATATTAAATACATAAATTATAAATACTAATTATATTTTTATTAAATAAACCGAAATCTATGCACATTAATGTGGTCGATATTGCACCTTATAATAACAATGCACATTTTCGCAAATATTAAATTTAAGTCGTTGCATTCCAAGTTCGGTTCTATTTACAAAAGAAAGAAAACAAATAACAGAACCAACCGGACCATAATTTTTTTTTCATATTTTATCTACATATATTTATTTATTTTAATCAAACGGCCATATAATTTTTTTTGGTACAAAGCAATACAAAATGTTAATTAAAAACTACAAATACTAAATATGTTTTAGAGCAAAAATAAAAAAATAATAATAAAAATAAAGCACTTTCAATGCAAACTAGTTTTACCTCCAGCATTTGCACGAAAAGCGATATAATAAAAGAAAAAGTAACTAAAAATACAGAATAAAATAAAAATCATACAAGATATGAAAAAAAAAAAAAATGAATCTAAATATTACTAAACACTTCTTTATAGTCTGGAATTTAATTTTTCAAAATATTTGATTTATCTTTGTAATATCCCAAAAAATATTTTTTTATTATTGTATGACAACAATAGAAAATGGAGATATTTGTAGTTATTCTTAATTAATTGTGAAATATATATTTATATGATACCAAAAAATATATAGTATCAATATAAAAAAAAATATTTTGTATTTCAGAACTTGAAAAGACGTTACATAAATGGGCACCATCCAAAATGAGATCTGTCAAAATAAATTGTGCAACTAAAAGATACATATTATTATTAAATGGTGAACATATTTTTATTAAATGAAAACCTATTTTTATTAAATGAACTCATATTATTATTAAATGCTGGCTGAATAAAATTTATTGAAGCTTGCCAGTAATTATATATATTGATTAGTAATAGTCCGATTGCACATTAACGGCAGTTAGGTTGCACTTTAGTATTAAACTGATACATATTAATATATGCCATATTGCACTATATTGACTTAACCCGACCGACTTTGTTTTTTGTGTACGAAGTTTATATCGGATTGATTATATATGTTTACCTTTAAAATGTTAGTTATTTTGACTCGATAACAACTTTATTTATTTTTTTAAATAACCAAAATGATCAGACCGAACAAACTATATAAAAAATATAATATTTTATATTTATTTTATAATAATACTATTTTTTCAATCAAAATGAATAAAGATTTAGAAAAAAATATTAAAGTGCAATTTAATTGTGGTTAACGTGCAATTTAGGTATCATTAATGTGCAAGTATTAAGAATTTATAAATTATAGTTTGGACTCATGAGGTGAATTGTAATATATTGAAGTTTATAAAATTGCAATTGAGTTCTCATAACATATCAAATTTTCAAACAAAATGCCCCAAATTCTATAATGTGTAACTTCCGTTCTCTCTTATGCCTGCCACTAGAATGACGTGTTGTGGTGGCGATGGGCCGAGTGGCGGCGGACGAGGGCCGACGCAGCAGGCTGGTGGTGGTTCTCGCCGCGGCGGGCCCGACCTACAAAATTTCGGGCAGAGATGAAGTGGGTCGATTACGGTGGTTTCAGGCGGCGATGTGGGGGATGTTGTCGGCGGTGACGGTAGTGACGTGACTGGTGGCGGCGACAGACCGGTTGCTGCGATTGGGAGAAGATGGTGGACGGCAGAGACGAGGCGAGGTTGCTGTGGCTGGACGGATGAGGCGAAATGGAGGAATGGTGGTTGAAAGGAGGAGGCGATGTGGAGGTTGTCGACGACGGAGATTGTGGTGGCCGTCGACTTGAGCGCCCTCTCCGTGAGATCTGGGCGAGTTGCCGAACTCGGCGATTGGTGGCCGCAGCAGGTCCGACAACGGCGGTGACATGACGGCAGGCTCGTTGCAGTGGTGGCGGCATGCCGGAATCAGCGAACGGTGGCCGGGCTGTGGTGAGCTGTCGGCGGCGTCGGGAGAGAAGACGATAGGTAGGAAGGGAGAGAGAAGAGAGAAGACAGGGGAGAGAGGAGAGAGACGAGAGTGTTTGTTGGAGATAATTACAGGTGGGACCCACTTAATTTATTATTTTGTGAAATTACACCACTATCCTTCAAGGTACTTATTTGTCCATGAGATAACAATATATTTACAGTTTTGCCACTAGGTTTGACCTTTATAATTTAATTTTGACTTCAACATCACCATTGGTATAATTGATCTAATGATCCATGATCATTCTTATTTCTTTCACTATATACTATTCTCATATGATCCCTTCTATATATATATATATATATATATATATATATATGTATATATGGTTCCAAAAAATTCTACCCGGGCTAAAGCCCGGGAGGAATTGTACATAGCTCCGCTCTTGTCGACACCTCCATTATTTCTCCCGCAACTCCATCCTCCTCTCCAAATCTCCCGACACACTGACTAAAAAAATAATAATAATGACAATTGTCAACGACGACGAATGTCGGTGGCGGACGATGTCTGTTGGCTGCAGGTGGTGTTATAGTGGTGGAAAGTTCTCCAACACGATTTTTCCGGCGAGATGGGGCAATAGAAACATGTAAAAGGTGAAAGATATGTATGCGTCCGGCAACGGTGAACGAGATGTATGCATCCGGCGGTGGTCAGGGTGTCGAGGGGCGAAGTGGCGGCGAATACGACGGCGCATTGGTGGTCGGCCGTCTGTGTGAAGGGGGTGTGTGTGTGTGTGTGCTGTGTATGTGTTTGTGTGTGTGTGTGTGTGTTTGTGGATGAAAGAGAGTGAGGGAGGGGGTAGGTGGTACCTGACACGAGTGTTGGTGGGAGTTTGACATAATGTGGGTGGTGGTGGGTCCCACAGGTTGGTTGATATATAACAATCTCTAAACCCTAGAGATTTTCTCTCTCTATAGGAGAGTTCCTTCTCTCATCGGGGAGTTCCCTCTCTCATCGAAAAGCTTCTTTTCGGTGTTTCCTTTTTATCAGAGCGAAGATGACAGTAATCCAGGGTGTGAACTTGTGGGAGAACCGGTGGTTTGTTGGGGTGATTTAGGGTTTATGGCAGAAGGAAGTTCGATGTCTCCAGCCGAGGAAGTTGAACTTCGGTTGAGGGCTTTCTCTTTATCGAAGGTTGAGGATCGTATTATTGATTTAGGGAACGGAGATGTCAAGACTAGCATTGAAGAATGTTACAAAAGTCTGTTCGGGAAGCTGGTGGGGAAAAAGAGGGGTAATCGTATGGGCATCAAGCGAGCTATGGGACTCATCTGGAAACCAAAAAATTCAATGGAGGTTCGTGAATTAGGTAAGGACCTTTTCCAATTTATTTTCGAAAATGACGAGGATATGAAGCGGGTGGCAAGGGGCACAAATTGGGTGTTTGATAACCAGTACCTTATCCTGAAAGGCTGGCAAGCTGGACTCCACAGCAATCACAGCTTCTTCAATGAACTGAGATTGTGGGTTCAGGTTCACCATGTCCCTCTGAATTGGCTTACTTCAGAAGTGGGCTTAAAAATAGGAAAGATGTTTAAATCAGTTTCTAATGTGCTAGTTAGTAACTTGGGCAGTCAAGGAGGGAGATTGATTAAACTACTAGTAACTGTGGATTTAGCAGAGCCACTACCTTGTTATGCATCTATTAGACTGGATCAAGAAGTGGTATCAGTTACCTTTAAGTATGAAAGGCTGATCAATCTGTGCTTTTATTGTGGGGAGGTTGGGCACATTGAAAAGGGACGTGGGCAAAGGGTGGAAGATGTGGAGAACCATTTCTTAAAGAAGACCAAGTTGGGGAGTGGATGCGAGCATCAGAGGGATTGCAGGGATAAGGCTGGCATAATGGAAGTTCCTCATCTGGACAAACCAGAGAACCTAGCCCTTTCAATCCCAACAGCAAGGCCTATGGGGAAGAAGATACAAGGATTAATAGTGAATCTAATGGGATCACTGGTAGCTCTGGTCATAATATTACTCATGGACAGAAGGTGGACTCTGGTTCTTCTCAAATGGGAGAGGGTACTTTCTCAACCATGGGTAAGGGGGATTTGGTGTTGTATGATGTAGCACAACAGAGCAGAATCTTAGGGGTGATTGTTGAAGAAACACCTCAGATAGAAGGTATGAAGGCTGACCAGATAGGGACAGTAGCTGTTGTTCCTATGGGGGAAGAGTACCTACTCAATAAGACTGAAGTGAAGACAGGCAAATCCAAGAGGACATGGAAGAGGGCTCTACCTAAAGAAAGGAGACTCATTAGAGACTGTGGGGTAGTTATCAAAGAGGATTCTAAGCAGCAGCTATTTAAAAGACTGAGGGATTTCGGAGGTAATCAATCTACTCCAAAGGAAGATGACAGTACACAGATAACAGTGGATAAGAAACAGAAAACTGCATCAGCTGAGGTGGAGAGGGCCAACCTTAAGGGGGCCCTCTAGGTGTCAATAAGAGCTGTGGTGTGGAATTGTAGAGGTCTGGGTGGGCCCTCTACAGTTCCCCAGATCAAGGAGGCCTTGAGGATCCACCACCCACATTTTTTGTTTCTTTCTGAAATTAAAAAATCAAAAAAATTTACTATCCAAGTTTGTAGTAGATTGGGTTTTATTAATATCCAGTTTATTGTTGAGCCAAGAGGTGCAGCTAGAGGTGGATATCAAGAAGGTGTATGGGCAAAACTTCTTTATTGTTGTTCAATTTATGGAGAAAGGCCAAGAGGTTTGGTATTGGGAAATATTTGTTTACCTCAGCACTTGCAGAAGGGAGAGAGCAGATCAATGGGAGTTTCTGATTTAAGAAATAAGTTCTTGGGGAGATGTCAGTATATTGGTTGGGGATTGGAATGACTTGCTGAGGCCGGAGGACAAAAAAGGGGGGAATTAGGAGGACTGCTCAAAGTTTTTAGGGTTTCAGCAATTTGTGTCTCAGATGGGTGTGCAAGAACTGCCTTTACAGGGAGTGCAAAGTACATGGGCCAATAACAAAGTTGGGGAGGGGTTTGTGGAGGAAGTGTTGGACAGAGGATTTGTATCATTGGAGTGGGCTGCGATATTCCCTTCTACTTAGATCTTCAGTTGGTTTAGGAGTGCCTCGGACCACTGCATGCTAGTGGTTGATTCTCAAGAAGGTACAACTAGACACAAAAAAAGGTTTGTTTTTTACAAGAGATGGGTTGTTAAAGAAGGAGTTCAGGCCATAGTTAAGGAGGCTTGGGAAGACTCTGTCTCTGGTACTCCTATGTTTGCTCTGAAGGAAAAAATTAAGAATACCAGGACAACTTTGATTAATTGGAGCAGGTATTTTCATTCCCAGCAGAATCAAAAGATTAACCTGTTAACTATGCAGCTTGAAGACATGAGGAAAGAAGGTGGTGATAGACATTGGGAAACCTGGGATAAGATTAAGAAAGAGTTGGACGAGGCTCATGTAGAGGAAGAAATGTTTTGGCAGCAGAAGTCCAAGGCTTTGTGGCTCAGAGAGGGGGATAAGAATTCCAAATTTTTCCATGCTTTTACAGCCCAATGGAGGAGGATGAACTCCATTGATAAGCTGTTGAATGATAGGGGGTCTTTGGTAGAGGGCCAGGAGGGGATTCAGAAGATCATCACTGAATACTATGGTCAGCTATTCTTATCTAGAGGTTCCTCAGGTGGCCATAAATTCCTACCACTCATTCCTAAGACAATAACTGAAGATATGAACAAGGCTCTCACTGGACCAGAGAGGAAGATGATATCAGGCAAGTTGTGTTCAGCATCCATCCAAAAAAGGCCCCAGGGGAGGATGGGATGATAGGGTTATTTTATCAACATTTCTGGTCTATTGTCAAGGGAGACATTTGCAATGCTTCTCAAAGCTTCTTCACATCAGGTCATATGTTGAGGTATTGAAAACATTCTCTTGTAACCTTGATTCCTAAATGTCCCAATCCTGTTTCCATTGCTCAATTTTGACCCATAGTCTCTGTGTTGTCTTTTACAAAGTCATTTCAAAGATTTTGGCAGTCAGATTAAGAGAATGCCTTCATGTGTGTATTTCTAAAAATCAGAATGCTTTTTTGCCTGGTAGACAACTACTTGACAATATGGTGGTAGGCCATGAAGTGTATCATTTTTTGAATAGGCACAGACAGGGCAAGAATTGTTTTATGGCATTGAAGCTTGACATTATGAAAGCATATGATTGTGTGGAATGGAAAGCTATTCAGTTGACTATGATTAGTATGGGATTTCACAGAGTGTTTGTTAAATGGATAATGGCCTGTATCCAAATGCCAACCTTCTCTTTCAACGTTAATGGTCAATGTGGTGGCTATGTTTCAGCTTCTAGGGGAATTAAACAAGGGGATCCACTAGCTCCTTATTTATTCCTCATTATTTCTGAGTTATTATCTGTCAAGATCAAAGATGAGGCTAAAAAAGGAAGGTTTAGAGGACTCAGGTTAGCTAAAGGGGGCCCCACACTCACTCACCTTATGTTTGCAGATGACACATTACTATTTTGTAAAGCAGATGAAGTTCGGTCAAGGCTTCTTGTTGATATTCTTAAGGACTTTCATGATTTTACTGGGCAACAGGTGAGTATGGGGAAATCCACTGTGTTTTTCAGTAAGAATTCCTCTGTAGAGGTTCAAAATACAGTGTGCAGCATGTTCAGAGGTATCACAAGGCACTCCTCTACCAGGTACTTTGGTCTACCCTTTGGAATTGGTAAATCCAAGAAAGAAGCCTTTGAATATATTATTACTGTGGTGAGGAACAAGATCTTTAGTTGGAAGAATAAATGGCTTTCATCTGCAGGTAAGGAGGTTCTCATTGAAGCTGTACTAAATGCCTTACCTGTTTTTGCCATGTCTTGCTTTGTGTTACCTATTGGTCTCTGCAGAGAAATCTCAAGTATTTGTGGCCAATTCAGGTTGGGTAAAGGCTCTGAGTTTAAGGGAGGGATGCACTGGGTTGATTGGAACAAGTTGACTCTACCAAAAGCTCATGGAGGATTGGGATTCCAGGATATTCAATTGTTTAATATAGCACTCATTGCAAATCAGCGATGGAAGATAGTCACAGAGCCAGAGAGGTTGGTCAGCAAAGTGCTTTCAAGCAAATATTTTCCAAATTCTAACTTGTTTAAAGCCCAACGGAAGCAAAGTTCTTCCAGGCTATGGAACAACTGGTTATCTGTGCTTGAGGTCTGTAGGAATTGGATGCAAGTTTAGGTTAATTATGGTAAGAGTGTCAGGGTGTGGGACCAACATTGGATACCTAATTTCATTGGCAAACCAGTGGGTTTGAGGGCAGGGGTGGATAGAAGGATTGTTTGGGTTAATGACTTATTATCTGAGGATGGTTGCAACTGGGATGAGGCTAAAGTGAGAGCCACCTTTGAACCAGATTTTTGCAGCTCCATTCTCAGTATAGATACCTTAGACCTAACTCAAACAGATGACTGTGTTGGGATCTGTGAGGATCTCGTTATGTACAAGTCACAAATTATATAGCAAACGTAAACATATGCGCAACGGATCTATAGGTTTGACGTAGAGAACTTACGGCTTAAAATTTATGTAGATCTGGTTGACCACGAACGGTTGACCGCAAATCACGTCTTGGGTTGCACGAACAAGATTAGATCAAAACCGGATCAAACGGGTGTAAATAGATGAAAACAGATTGAATTCAGACGGCTTCCGGCGGCGCGTGAGGGCGTGTGACGCGTCAGAATCCGGCGATCGTGGCGGCGATGGAAAGCTCTCGTCGAGACGGTCGTCTGGGTATGCTGTTCATCTCAATCGGACCTCTGGTTAGTTCTGTAGGACAAAATATATTTCGTCTCGGTTTACCTATAGATCTTCTACTGTATTACTCAATACACCCTTCTTCAGCTTGTATCAGTGGAGCAACAAGAAGAAGATAAAGCTCGGATGAGATCTAGATAGAGAGAGGCGTGGGGCATGTGTTTGTATATGACAGATGTCTTCTCTTCTCATGAGCTTAATGATGTATATATAGAGCTACAGTAGGGACCCTTAGGAGATTAGGAAAAGGGCTCCTTAATTAATTAGACTAACTGTGGGCCAAGCCCACTCCTCTAATTAATTAAATAATATTAATGGGCTACCAACATTATATTATTGCACTCTCTTTTCCTAGCCCAAATTACATTTGAGACTCTCATAAGAATTACTCGATTTACCTCCCCACGTTTAAGATATAATGTCCATTAATTAATTCGATTACTGACAATCAAGAATTAATTAATTTATTATTATTTCACCGAAGCTAGTGCTCGTTCATCACATTCTTATATATAATCAAACTAACAGCACATGGTGACCGTAAATATCCTAACAGCACATTCTATATATAATAATATTATCTAAAACAGTAAGAATATTAATCTAGCGAAGTGAACTCACCCATGTGAATCAAAGTAATATACATTATATATATCTGCCTGTTTAATATCTTACGGGTTAAGAGAACGCAGTAATTAACCGAGGCCTAGTTCATTTACGACGATCAGTATAAAATGAACTTCTCCTCTCTGGGATCCTGTTTAATACATAAATGTACTAGTGCAACTAATCAGTCAAGACAAACTGTACAGTTGACACTACAACTGTTCGGATGGGGTGTTCATGTCCATCTAGGTTGTGAACAACTATTCTCGTTCGCAAGTGACTGATAGAGTGATCTTCGGTTCGCCCGATGATGACCCACCCTATCTAAGTGCAGAACAACAGAACGTAGAACTTGTTTAATCTAACACGATTCTCATTCATAAAGGGCAAAAGTGTAATAACATGCAAAGCCAAGCTTTCAGTATATAACACTAACAGACTGGAGATGGACAGTGAGTAAGCAAGGTATGTTCTCAGTCAACTCTACTTATGCTCATTTGATTACTGAAAAAGTTCTGAAACAAGGGACTCCTCAAGGCAGTGGAAGCTTCAGAACAGATTCTAAAGTGAGGGGTAAAAGTTAGAAGTTAAAGGTCCTTGGCAAGGTTAAACATTTTGTATGGAGATGCTGTTTAGGTACATTGGCTGTCAATCAAAATCTTAGAGCCATAGGTGTTGATGTTGATCCCATTTGCAAGATGTGTGGAGAAAAGCTAGAAACTATAGTGCATGCCCTGTTTCATTGCCCATTTGCTCAAACTGTGTGGAAACTTGCTCTAGTATGGTGGGATGGTCCTAATGGCTCAGAGACTTTTCAGGATTGGTGGTGGTAGGTGTGTCAATTAGATAAATCAGAGTCTTCCGAAGCCCGTATCCAATTATCTACATATATTCTTTGGTGGCTATAGAAGTCGAGAAATCTGTGGATTT